TACCCATTCTTTTCCATTTTAGAATTTCATCTTGGGTAAGAATGAGAATTGAACCAAACATGGCCTTAGAGTAATGGTTTCTGCATTTCATGAGATTATGTAGAGATGCTAGTTTTATTTTTATGGATTAGACTTTAGTTTCTAGCAATTTCCACCAAGATTTAAAATGTTGATGTCAATGGAATTGTCGATTGTCCAAATATAGGAAATATGTCGGATATATCATATTATATGCAAAATTATAGAATGATATTTTATGAAATGATAGAAGAAGCATAGGGACACCTTTTTAAATTATTATCTTGTTCCAAATTATTAAACAATGCTATATAAAAAAGGTTCTGAAGTTGTCTTGTAAATCTTAAGATTCAAAGCTATATGATAGAATGAGTTAAATCAAAATTTAAAGTCATAGAAAATCAGTGTTTTAAAAGCGCAAGGCGCAAGGGCCAATTCGCCCAAGGCGCGCGCCTTTTTGAAGCAAGGTGCAAAAATACAAAAAATTGCAAAAAAGTAAAAAATGTCAGAAAATTCAAAATAAGGCCAAAAAATTAAAAAAGAAAAGCAAAAAATAAAAAATATTAACCATAATATTAATACGAAATATAAACTTAAATTTTAAAATTACTGGTTTAAAAAACCTATTATCTAAAATTAAAATACATAAACGTAACATGTAAAGCATATTTAAATGAAAATTTAAAAATAAAATCAAACATATAAAACATTTTCAAGCATGTAAAGCCCACAATCTCTTTTTTTTTCCTCAATTGCATTACTTCAAGTAGCTAATGTGATGTAAAACATATTGTATTCCTGATTCTACGAGTCACCTTTGTGTCGTGCTCCTCGAGGCAAGCCCAAACAAGTCCATGTTAGGGTCTTAAATTCTTAATTCTCACACAAAAAAATAATGATTTTATAATTTTAATTGCCTTTTAAGAAGATACTTTATTAAGATGAATGAATGAACAACATTAGCCAATAGGGGTTTCTCGGAGCGTGGTTGGGTTGGATGATGACTTCTATGGAAGTGACAAATTTTTACTTCTCATTTCATCTCTTCTAGGTTGACTTTCTTTGATCCCCCTTTCTTTTTCCCACTATTCCTTGTTTATGGAATTTTCTTAATGATAGACTTCAGGGTTTTCTAATTATACATTTCTAAGTTGCTTGTGGTAATCTTTGTTTTGTAGCTTCGATTGCTTAGTTTTCTATTTTTGCTCTATGTTCTGCATAATGTGATTTATTTCATATACGATTTGTGTTTTTTATAGTATGTTTTGTACTATTAAATATCCCATGTCTAGAATATTCAATGAAAACTACAGATGCTAGGGTGGGATCATATTGAGGATTTGTTAAAACTTGAATGGGGCGTTAGTGTTGAGATCCATAACGATTCTGTACTCACATAATTGTTAAGGATGGTGAACTTGGGAGTGGTTGTTAAGGATTGTGCTTAAGTTTGTAGAAAGATTGCAGCTATTATGTACATGTTTAGTTGGTAGATTTCTCAGTTCAGATCCTGGTGTTAGTTACATTTATAAATGGGATTTAATCAAATGGAGTCAGTATGACTTCAATAAAGTTATAAGGTTAAATGCAGGATTGTTCTTGTTTATGTTCTAAAAATAGGATGGAGCAAAGGTAGTGTTCCAGAGTGAAACAAGAGGTACATTTTGGTACCCAGAGCTGTGTTTAGGCAAATGGTCTCCCATGATTGGTTAGGCTGTTTGGTTTGAAACAAGAGGTAGGGAAAGGGAGTCTGTTAGGTAATATGGCATTAGGCAAGGAATATGTAGGGTAGGAACTTCACTTAGATTAACATATTTGGAATTCCTCTTCACATGTGGTGCACCCAGACTTTCATGGCGATTGGCAATGTGTGTAGAAAATGTGTGCAGTTTATCTCTTTGCATCTTAATTTATCATTTCTGGTTAGATGTTTGAGTTTTGAATTGTGATGGAAGGCGAAGATCCAACTTTGGGTGTCAAATTGACAGCCATTGTGTTGGGAGTCATAGGTGGAAATGAGGGGAAAGAGCGTTCAGAGAAGTTGAATGGCCGCAAAGGAGACGAAGTCAAATAGGCAGAGGGGAGTGGGGAAGAGGAAGGATAAGGGAAAAGAATAGTTTCGGAAGAGGAGATGGAGACATGTGGACCCATATGTTATTTGAGAAAAGAAAAGGGGGAAGTTCTCAAAGATTTGACACAAGTATTGAACAAGCAACTACAAAGGTTAAAGTTTGATAAATCAAAAGGGTTTCTTTTAGGAGTGGGGTTGAGTAACTGGTGGGCCCACAAGGTTTCCCTTAATATGGAAAATTAAAACAGGGGGTTGGGATCCCAGCTTTGGCAAAGCTTAGTTATAAAGATAATTGGGATCACATGGTTAGGGAGTTTACTGAAGATAGAAATCAAGTTAGTGAAAGTGGGCTAAAGTATAATTTTATGGGAGGTAAGAGCTCAACAAGATGATGGCTTCGTTTGGTGCTGACAATATTTATTTATAGGGACAGATGGTGTTTAAAGAAGAGAGTGGTCAAGATGTTGCTGAGTAGTGATTGTTGACTCTCAAGATTGAGGTGAAGGAGGTTGCTCAGGGATCATTGTATAGGGCAATGATGCAATCACAAAAAAAAATAATAAAAAGGGAAGAGAATAATCATTATCAAGTAAGGAGAGTTCCAAAGATAGCAGTTGCTAATGTGGTTTTATGTGAAGTTCTTGAGCAAAGGACTTAAGTGGTGACCTTGGAGGTGAAGTTCTCCGATCAAGATGAAGTGAACGAAGGTGATCCTGATAGAAATCCACGTCTTGTGACAGAAGATGGTAGGTTTGTGAATGATTTGCATTCGACAGGATGGAGAACTCTTTGGTCGGGGAGGTAAGAGATCTAGATCAATTTCTAGAGGAAGTGAGGAGATCAATGGAGTTTTTGGCGACCAAAGTAGAAGATTCTGTTACAATTATGGATGCAGGTGTTAGGGTTGTTCAAAATGGGGTTGAGTTGTAGTTGTAGGAGTTAGTGTGTTGTTTTCTTCTTCTCTCAGGTGACTTCTTGTCACCTTCCTTGTACTCGTATTTTTCTTCTAATAAATTTTTTTATTAGAAGGCACTTGTATCTGAATCTATAAAAGGGAAAAGAATTATAGAACTTGGCCTTTTAATAGTGCTGAGTGTGAAGATGAACTTGCGGAGGTGGTTTTAGATGAAACTCATTAAGTTGATGGAATTGTTGATTTGAAAACTGTTGTAAATGCAGAGGGGTAAAGTCAGCAAAACTTTGGGATTGTTTTTTCTTGGGTGGTGAAGAATTTGTAAGGAAGGTTTTTAAGTTGGAAGAGAAAAATCAGAAGAGAAATAACGAAGATTTTGTGGCTCATGAAGAGGCTGGTTTTAATTTAGGGATAAGAGAGTCACTAGATTATAGTTCACCCCGAGCCGCAGGGGGGGGGGGGTTGCTAGAGAGGGCGGAGAAGTAGTTGCAAATCAAATCTTTAAGAAGAATGTTATTCTAGAGTTAGAAAGGATCAATGGCGGTTTAAAGGAGTTCAAGGAGCTTGAGAAAATTCTTGAATGCTATAAGACGTTTCAGGAGGCAGAAGAATTGGAATTGTTGAACCATTCAGGTTTTAATAGTCTTTATAGGTTGAAAGGGGGTTTATTTGGGGTTGGGCCTAACAAAAGGATGAAGAAATCAAAGAATGGTTTTAAGAGGAAAAGAGCTTCCTATTCAAGCCATTGAAGATGCTAAATAGGTGAGCTTTGATTGGTGTGGTGTTAAGTAGGAGGAGGATGATCTTTTGTTGTAAAAATTTGTTAGTTTTCTGGGGGTTTGGTGTCTTTGCCAGTTGGTTGGTTTATTGATTTTGCTGTAAGGCTTGTGTTGGTTTACTTTTCCTATGGTTTCATGTGTTCTTTTTGGAGTTCGTTTGGATGTGATTTTTGTTGAATCTTGTCACTTTCCTTGTACTCTTGTTTTTTTTTTTTTTTTTTGATAAATGAATGGTATTTTATTCAAAGGAAACAAAGTGATGTTACAATACAGACTACCCAAGGAGAGGCACGAGCTGGTACCCCTCCACAACAACAAAGTACTACATCAGGCTCAGAAATGAAAGTTTACAGAGCTGCCCAGAATAAATGTTCCCTTGATACCCCTTGTACTCTTGTTATAGTTTTAATAAATTTTACTTTACATTCAAAGAATGTTTAAATTCAAAAGATTGGATTTAATTCAAAACCGAGTATAATTAACATATACTTGATGACTCTGAAGTCAACTTGTGGGTTAAAACATTCATATACATACATGTACATGCTTATGTAGTGGGGCGGGTTAACTAGTAGTGCCATTTAATGAGCCTCCTGAAGTGACCAGGGAATTTTACATGTGGCAAATTAGTTGAGAACACAAAAGGAGTCATCGAGTTCCTCTCCCCTCCCTTTTTACTTTTGGTATTATCCTCTCTTCTCCCATAATTCATGGGAAAAATGCCCCCCCCCCAATAATACCTTGCAATGTTTGCAGAAAAAGTCAATAGATCTTGAAGGATACCTCCATGTAACATTTTGTTTTTTTGGCCTTATTCAATGTAGATGAACGGCTAATTTATACAATCAATGTCATTCTTCCTAGAAAATGTTAGTAAAGTTTACAATATTAGAATTGAACAAAATATGGGCTTCTTTAATAGTTTATGCCTTTTGAGTGTAGTGAAATATGAGTAATTTATTTGGATTGCTTCCCTTCCCTTTTCTTTTTCTAAAATTTAGAAATTTGAATAATTGATTTGGATTTTCTTATTCAGTGATATGCAACAAATATGTGCAGGTTGATTGCATCCTAGATTTTATACATGATGGCAGACTTGGACTTTCTTTTGAGCTTCATAATTTGCATTATTTGGTTTCCTTGTATTTTAGTAAATAGAAGTTACTTTAAACTTTTGGGTATCACTATCTTAATTTTTTTGGTGAAATTTTTTATTCGTTTTTGCAGTTGCGGATGATCGAATAAGTAGATTTAGAAGTTCTTTTTGCAAGGACAAAATTGGTTTGTCCTGATTAGTGAGGTCATTCACTTACGAGCTCATCAAATACTCAATTGCACCATTAGTTTTTGATAAGTTGATAATAGGGGGGGATGGGGTGGGAGAGGGGAAAGAAAGAAGAGGCTGATACTTGCATTCTTATTTTGTATTTATTATGTAGCTCAGCTCAACACTCAACTTGATAAAATTTGCCGAAAAACCGGTGTTCTGTCTGGGTGCCTCGTAAATCATCATTTGGCCTTCTTCTTGGAGAATTTCTGTTAGGTTGCCCTGAAAAGGAAACATGGATCATTTCAACTTCAATCTTAGTTTTTTTAAATAATTTTGCAAAGAGAGGAAAGAGGGAGTCAGCCACTGCTCACTTTCCTGATTAAGATTTTTTTGGTCAGGCAACGTTAAAGCCGAGTTTTGATAGCAGAGAACATTTGAAAATGGATTCTCGTGTACCCTTGATTCTGTGGAATCAAATTAATACATTCATATAGTAATTTGTTATACTTATACATCAACGCATATGCAGGTAGCAGCTCATTTTTTATATTTGTAAATGTTTGGAAATGAAAATATCAAATCATGTGAAGATGTTAGAAAATGCAACCAACGTTAGCCTGCACGAATCCGGATTCAGTCCTCAAAAAATTAGTACTAACACCGTGCTCACAACACTGGACAGTGAATATAAGTTGGAACATCTCCCCATGAATGAAAAAAATATAAGTACATCTTGTAAGTATTGTGATCACGGTGTGAGTACTGAATCCAGTCTCAGCCTGCACAATACATGGGTTGTCGTGGTCATATCCGCAAGGTGACGGGATCTGCTCCTCACAAATGGGCATCAAACACGCACATCCACCGTGTATTAGGAGCATCTTCCGTGAATATTTATTAATAAATACGGGAGATGTTCCCAATGCATGATAGGATGTGTGTATGAGGCACCAGTTGTGAGGAGCAGATCCGGTCTCATCCACAAGGCCAGGTAGCTACTTGCTAGCTCTCTCTAGTCTCTTACTCCCACCCATTCAAATAGGCATTCTTGATTCTTGCGCAATACATGGGGTTTTTATTGTTCAGTCTACCTCATAAATCTTTGTCTATCTCATAAATATTTATGTAAGGAATGTATCACAATTCAGTGTATCATAAATATTTAAAAACCAAGGGGTGGTGGACCATAAGACATTTTAAAAACATATCCCTGTGATTTTACACTTTATTTAAGTAAAAGGAAATTTTATGGTCTATTGGTAGACTTTTTTATTGGGTTCTAAAATGTATTGTCCCAAGCCCGTCACCTATTAGTTTTACCCTGCGATGAATTCCTCTCATAAATATTTTAATAAAAAACCCTTTAAGACCGTTGTAATTTGACGGTTTAACCTCTAATGTCTAATCTGACAATACAATTTACATCCTCTGCGCATTAATGAGAAATTACAAACACAATTTATAATAGAGATTGGTTGTTTCAAAGGTTTGCACATTGATCCTAGCATTTTCATTGGTTCTATACAAGTCATTGCGTTCAATTAATCCAGAATGACCCGTATAGAGAGCGGAGCATTGCACTATCATTGATTCTATAACCTGTTAGAATGCCATTGCGTTCAATTAATCCAGTGCCCGTGATTTAGTAAAGGAAGCTAAGCTTGTGGGTGAATTTGTTTTATTTTATTTTTAGATTAAAAAACACAATTTTAGGGGTTGAAAAGTATTAGGAGAAATAATTGGCTGATGTGGAAACATGATTATTATGTATGAATTATGATATGAAGTAGGCAAACCAAACGTTGAAAAAAGATTCAGGGGATCCTGCCGAAAGAATGATTTTTGGTTTTTCAGTGCAAAAACAACTGCCACATCAGTGCTGAGGTGGCAATTGCTCTCGTTTTGAGGAGAAACACAATCACGTGTATTCGAGAATACTCAATACTCCCCAAGTCAATAAAAATTAAAAATAATGAAAATCAAAATAATTTATTCCTTGAGAAAAAATCAAATATAAATAAGTTCGAGAATTTCACTTGGTTCAGCGCAAACTCACGCTACACCACATATCCAATAAGAATATGCGACCAACAAAATTTTTTTTATTCTTTTTTACAGATTCTTCTTTTTCAGTTTTTCTCCTCTCTCTCTCTCTCTCAAGTCTCAGCTTTGATTGCGATTACGAGCGTACATGCATGCTGTTCCATCAAACACCAATCTCTCATGGCCACGTTCTTGTTATCTGACCTTGCCGGAGATCCCCTTTCTCCCGGCCGTGCCTCGGCAGAGCTCGTCGTAAGATGATCTGAAGTTCAACCTTTCTCGACCGGCACGTGGGGCTTCTGCTTTAATTCCTCCATACATCTATCATTTTCTCTTTCTTGTCCCCACGGCACTTAAGTCCGGCGATTTCCTGTCAGAACATGTCAATTGTCGTCAGATYCCGCTGACGCTACTCTTACACATTATTGAAGTTTCTGGTGACATTCCTCGGGCGTTCTTTCTTTGCGTTATTGTTGCGCCTTTTCTTTCCCGAACATCAGGTCAGAACTCAAGAAACCCAATCAAATTGCTTTCTTTTTGTTTGTGTTGAATTCTTCGTTTCAATTCTGCTTGGACCTGAAAGGGTTTACATTTGTCCTCCGACGAAATTAGGTCAAAGGGAATTTTTTTTCCTTTGTCATTTCCTTCCATCTGTTACTCGTTTTGATGGAATCACTTTGAGGATTATAACCTGTTCCGCCCTGGAAATCTTTAAATCTTCCAATCCCTTCTTTGTGCTTTTAGTCGAATTCTTTCTCTTCATTTACATCTGGGTTTGGAATTTGGAAATGACAAATGGATAGAATGAAGATCATCTGAATTTTCAGATTTGATTAGGCCTCTTTTCTTTTTATCTCAAGCGGCTTCAAAATTGGTTAATTCGTCTTCTTTAATGCCGTTAAGGCTCGTAATTTTGGCTTGGAAGAGTTCCATGTCGGTTCTATCTTTCTATTTTATGCTATTCGATTTGGATCTCGAACTTCAACTTCGTCGTTGAAAACTGAGAACTTCACAAAAATCAGGTTTTGTTCTCTTCTTTGAGGGGGAGTTTTGAGGAATGTCTGGGGCGGGACAGGCAGTCAAACACGTAGATTTTTCAAAAATGGAGACGAAGAAGACATCTGAAGATGAACAGCGTTCAGGTTGTTGCAATCCTGTCAAGACGTCAGGGCCTGTGTCCATGGATCATGTCCTTCTAGCACTGCGTGAAACCAAGGAAGAGAGGGAGCTGAGGATCCGCAGTCTTTTTAATTTCTTCGATGCTGCGAATGTCGGATATTTGGACTATGCACAGATTGAGGCAGGCCTTTCTGCACTACAGATACCTGCGGAATATAAATACGGAAAGGATCTTTTAAAAGTCTGTGATGCAAATAGAGATGGCCGGGTTGATTACCAAGAGTTCCGACGGTATATGGATGACAAGGAACTTGAGCTTTATCGCATCTTTCAGGCCATTGATGTTGAGCATAATGGTTGCATTCTACCAGAAGAGCTCTGGGACGCCCTTGTCAGAGCAGGTATTCCATATTTTCTATTTTATACTAATTCTTTCTTGACCTTTTTTTTTTCTCTTGTTACCCTGCAAAAAGTAGTCATTTGTATAAATAGATACTGTTAAAGCAGTTATTAGTGGGTACTTCTTACCCATTTGGAGAAAATTCACCCGCAAGCTTTCGTTCTTCTACTAACTATCATCATGATCAAAGTACAATAAGCACCCAAGAAGAGAAACAATCTTCCCCGGTATCTTATTATTATCAGTCACAACAGTTGCTATTTGTTTTAGCATTTAATTTGATATTGATGGCAACTCTTGCTAAGAGCTTAGGACTAGTGGCAGGTATTGCAATGCCGCAGAAACTAAAAGCAGGGAAGAGATTGTTTTACAATTTCTGTAACATTAACTGTGTTAGTGGGAGAGAGAAACGAGCCAAATCAACCTAAAGCCCATGTTTATTTCTTTTAAAAGGGAGCATCCAGAAGAAATAGTTAAATCTATATATTACACTTTTATATGGTCAATCTTGGGATCTGATTCATGGATTTTCTCCTGCTTAAAATAAATCACATCTCTTATCTATGGTCTAATCTTTTAGCAGACGAACCGCATTGTGGACAACAGTTGATGCAGAAAAGGAAGTGTTTTTGTACAATTTCAGTAGTGTTTTACTGTATTACTGCCTGCTGATATTTTTGAGCCTTACTAAACTAGCTTCACCCAAGGGGTTCCAATTGTGGTTTTAGCCATTTATGACTTGCCAGTTATATGTGCAGTATTTCCTTTTTCAGTCAGTTTGTTTTCCTCCTATAAGCCATGGCAGTTTCTCTTCTGCAGGGATTGAAATTGATGATGAAGAACTTGCCCGTTTTGTGGAACATGTGGACAAGGATAACAATGGAATTATAACATTTGAAGAATGGAGAGATTTCCTTCTACTCTATCCCCATGAGGCTACCATTGAGAACATTTATCATTACCTGGAGAGGGTATGCCTTGTAGATATTGGGGAGCAGGCTGCTATTCCAGAAGGCATCAGCAAGCATGTCCATGCAAGCAAATATTTAATAGCAGGAGGTGTTGCAGGAGCAACATCCCGTACTGCAACGGCTCCACTTGATCGCCTAAAGGTAGTTTTGCAAGTCCAGACAAAATGTACTCGCCTTATGCCTGCCATAAAGGACATATGGCGGGAAGGTGGCTTTCTTGGATTTTTCCGAGGGAATGGACTAAATGTTCTGAAGGTAGCACCTGAAAGTGCTATAAGGTTTTACACTTATGAAATGTTGAAGAATTTGATTGTCAATGCTAAAGGGGAGGATAAAGGTGATATTGGTACTTCTGGGCGCCTTGTTGCTGGTGGTATTGCGGGTGCTGTTGCACAGACTGCTATTTACCCAATGGATCTTGTAAAAACTCGATTGCAGACTTATGCTTGTGAAGGTGGAAAAGTTCCTAAACTTCGAGCTTTGACGAAAGACATATGGATTCAAGAAGGACCTCGAGCCTTCTATAGAGGTGTTGTCCCATCTCTTCTTGGAATTATTCCTTATGCAGGCATAGACCTTGCCGCATATGAGACCTTGAAAGATATGTCAAGAACATATGTTCTCCACGATAATGGTAAATCTTTCATATAACTTTTACTTATATTTTGCTTTTTTTCCCCTTTCCTCGCTTTCTCTCTCCTAGTGCCATGGCATTGCTTTTAGAATTTCATACTTTATCCTAAATGTTTATATTTTCCATAGAACCTGGCCCTCTTGTACAACTTGGATGTGGGACAATTTCAGGAGCTCTTGGAGCAACATGTGTTTACCCATTACAGGTCATCAGAACAAGGTTAGTTTTCAGTTTTCAATGTATTTTTACCATTTGCTGAATCTAATATTTACTATTTGTTTTCAGAATGCAAGCTCAGCGGTATGCAACTGCTGCTTACAAAGGAATGTCAGATGTATTTTGGAGAACCTTCAAGCATGAAGGTTTTAGAGGATTCTACAAAGGAATCTTTCCAAATCTGCTCAAGGTTGTGCCATCTGCAAGCATTACATATCTTGTTTATGAAACCATGAAAAAGAGTCTTGATCTTGAGTAGTGTAAGGATGGCTTTTCCTGATGGCTACCATGATTGAGAAAGCTGGCTTCAGAGTTGATAATGATGGTGGTAGTGAAACCGATGGTGATGATAACAAGAAAAATGTTATTAATGGGGTAGGCAATGGGATTGTTTCAGTTAATATGACAAGATGATACTCCCCCTTTCACAATACAAGGTGCATTATTGTATAGTCAAAGTTTTTGCAATCATGTTTGAACTAACTACAGAGTTTCCTCAAGTTATGACACCTGACTTCCAGGTACTAGGTATGGTTCTCTTTCTTAAAGATTTTTTTCTTCACTCCTTTTTTTACGTGTGCCAGAATTGCTCCAAGATGAATTTAGTGATGGTACAGTTGTTCATGCTATTTGTTTTGCTTCTCTGAGTTCAGGTTATGTATATGAATCATTGGCGCTTTTCTCTGAGTACACATAAAAGAGCTTGCAATGCAGACAGACCCTTTTCTTCTGGCTTTGCTTACTAATGCATGGGATCTTATGTGATGGTTTATATTGGGAAAATAGCATAGACATAGGTTTGATAAGAAGTTTTTGAGGAGAATCCAAAAAATTTTTTGTAATGTCTAAATATTTATATATAGATACAAAGGAGGGCTGGGCCACAGCCCCAAAAAGACTTTATAGTATACCACCCTCTACACCCAAAATAGACTGATTTCAACATCTATTTTACCCCATACATTGTGTCAAAAGGCCTCTTCAGGATATGGCTCTGTTTAGCAAAATGTATGGGTGTTTTCATATGCATCATCACTGCAAAAAGATGTTATAGTTGAATTACATAATGTGAAAAAAAGTTAATTGTTTAGACTTGGGCATAGTTTATGTAGTTTTTTCTTTGACATCCATGTACTGCATTTGAGCATTTTGTTTCGCTAATGTGGATAATGAATTTTTGTTTACGTGCATGCGTGCCATATTTATCTCTTTGCATCTGATCTAGCGAAGTAGTGACTACAATCCTCTGCTCATTTTATGGTTAACGTTTACAGTTGCTTTTTGAGCAACTAGAATCCTTGCTGGCATTGATGGCACAATCAGGAAAAATGAGGGAACCGTCTTGCTCTTTTTTCCCCAGGGTCAGTGGTTATTGATGATTTATACAGATCCAGGATCCTTCCCTACTCCAAAGACTTAAAGCTTTTTTTGGGGTGGTTCAAGAGGATTATGGTGGGATGATTTCTCAAATTTTTTTGCTTTGTTGGGGGTAAGATCACTCTAGTGGGTTTTAGGGAACGAGTCATGTTGCTTTCAAAAGACTAGATCTTTGGTGTCCAGATAGGACATTACATTTGACTTGTTCCCTAGGTTACCTTGTTTGTAAGTGGTGGATGCTGTCTTTCCTGTTGATGACATTTTTTGTTAGTAACTAGATTGAAGAACTTAATTACAATCTTTTCAATGAGGAAAGTTAGGCTTCATACCTTCTACAAAAATTTAACAAAATGTAGACAACATCACATCTATATTGCTTTAGTTTCAGGTTGGCAAAGAAGTTCCCCAGTACAAATCAGATCTATTCACTTCTTTTTGTTTTCTTTATAGGTGTTTATATCTGCTAGGTCAGCTTTCTGATATCCCTCTTTCTTTTTCCCTTTTTTTTCGTTATGCATAACAGGAATGAATCTCCTTTTTATGAATTTCCAGCCATTTTCGTTTCCATTTTCGTTTCTTGTATTTTCTTAATGATAGACTTCAGGATTTTCCAGTTAAACATTTCTAAGTTGTCTGGTGTAATTTTGGTTTTGTAGCTTCTAATGTAAAGGATATTCTGCGAACACTGGTGTGTGAAGTGAACTGGGCTACATAACCAATCATGAGTGAACATGCCAGTGTTCCATAGCCTGGTTCACATACTTGTGTTTGCAGCAGATCCCTGTCCGCTTCCATTGCTTAGTTTTTCTGTTTACTTTATATTTTGCATAATATTATTCATTTCATATTCTCTGTTTTTTTCTGCTATGTTTGGTACATGTCCCAAAACCAAAAGAATGGATTCAATTCAAAACTGGAGTTCAAGTATACTTGGTGACTTTAGAGCCAACTTGTGAGTTGAAACTGGAAACAATCATAGACATGCAAATACATATATTGGGTGTTGGTATGTGTACACATACCATATTTAGTGATAAGTTTTAAATATAAGGGGGTTTCTATTTACATATACTGACCAATCAAAAAAAGGTAGGGTCATTGGCCTTCCCTAAATGTCCTAGGAATCTTACATGTGGCGAATTATTAGAGAACAAAAAAGGAGTCATCGAGCTCCTCTCCCCGCTCTTTATTTGTGGAAAAAATAGCCCAAAACACTTTCTAATTTTTGCAAAATAAGTCCACTTAATTTTATATCATAGTTAAAAAATTAAAACTTTATGTTTATAATATGGTCTTGTGGGCATCTTGTTTTTCTAGTTCAAGAACTTATAACAAATGGTGTCTCAGTTGGTAGGATCTCTGGCTCATTGTAGCAGAGACCTGGGATCAAATCCTGTTGCAACCTGGATTGGGGATGAAAAGGATGGGGAATGGGTTACCCCTGTTGTGTAGTGCCATAAAGCAAAAATAAAAAGGAATAATTTAGACTTATTTAAAATATTTCAAGAATCAAAATAGAATAGAAACTAGAAAGATTAGCTCAAGGAAGAGAGACTAGAGAGAAAAATTGAGAAGAGGAAACTGATATAGGCCTATGTGCTCTCACACACACACACACACACACATTCTCTGGATTGAGAATATCATAAATACCCCTTTTGTTATTTCAATGAATAAAACAGCAAATACTAAACAGAACAAAACATAATAACTAAAAACCAAACCAAGATTATCAACAAAGTGTTAATCTCTCATAAAATATTGAATTGAAATTTCAAATACTCTAATTCCTTCAAGTCGACTAAGGCAACTAATGAGTTGACTTGATGAATTTTCAAACACTGGTTTGGTATATCTGGATGTTTCCCTTCCCTTTTGAAAATCTTAGAAATTTGAATATACTGATTTGGGTTTTCTTATTCGGTGTTAATGTGTTATGGTATAAACATATGCAGGCTAATTGATTGCATCCTAGATTCTGTACATGATAGAAGAGTCATGGTTTTAGCTTCTTGATCATCCTAATTCATTATTTGGTTTCACTGTATTGGATTATATAAAAGTTAAGTTTATTAAATTTCAGGTTTTCCTGCCTTAATTATTTTGGTGAAATCTTAATCCTTGTGCAGTTGCAGATGATCGAATCGGTAGATTTAGAAGTTCTTTTGCAAGGACAAAATTGGATTGTCCTGACTAGTGAGGTCATTCACTTGAGCTCATCAAATACTCTACTACACCATTAGTTTATGATAAGTTGATCACACGGGGAGGTGGAGGAAAAAATGGAACAGGCTTTCACTAACACTCTTATTATGCAGCTCAACCTGATAAATTGTGTCGGCAAACAAAATTATATATGTTCTTTTGGAGTTAGTTATTAACATGTTGATTTTGAAGCCTTTTTCCTCTCAACTTAATGTCTTTCTCTGTTCTGCGTGCGTTGTAAACCATTTGGCAGCCACTGTTGATTAAATAACTAGCCATGAGCCAGAGCCAGAGCCAGACCAATTTGCATTAATTGGACAACTTTACAAACGGTAAGGAGGTCAAAATGTGAAGGTATGCAAATTGTAAAAAGTGATTGTTTAGAAGCAATTAAAAGGTCAAACCATTTGTTTGGTTACAAAACCTTGTAGTTGGCTTAAGAATACTTGTTCCTACAAAAAATAAATAAATAAATCCATATGAAGGGGGAGATTCATTTCAGTTTAATTAATAGCATTATAGAATTGGGATTCAAGCCAAAATTAGATTCTAGCGAGAATTTTAAGCGTTTGGTTCAGATGTTACATGCATATTCTATATATAGGGAAAATTAGAAATAGTCTGCCCTATCCTATGTTTACCACTAGGCCTCTCCCTCTCTCTCTCTCTCTCTCTACTCTGTTGTCGGCCCCTTGGGTTCTATTCAATCTCTTGACAATTTTCTTTACTTCTTAATCTAACCTTATAAGTTACAATCTCTCTCCAAATCAAACAAACACTAGCTCAAACTTTGATAGAGTAGACTACATAGGGAAAGAAAAGGAAAGAATCTCAACGAGGTGGAGGTGGGTCTTTTACTTTTGTTTATACAACGTGATGGACCTCGAACTGGATGTGGATTGTGGAAGCAAATATCCATTGTGATGTCATTAGGGGTGTCAACGGTATTCGAAAATTCAATTTTGAACTTGATATTCGACATAATCGAATCGAATTCGGATAATTCGAATAGCTAATCAGTTGAATTTGGATATGTCCTGATTCGATTTGATAAATATTCGAATTTAACCTATTATTTAATTATTATATATAATATATAAAATATGTTATATAATTTATATATAATAATTAAATTATATAAATAATTTATATATTATATATCAATAAAATATTTATTAATTATTAATTAATTGAATTCGAATTGAATCGGATATTCAAATATTTAATCGGATTCAAATTTGGATATTAATTTTTAATATCCATTGGATATCGAATCGAATTTTTTAATCGGATTCGAATTTAGATATTGCATGATCTAATTCAAATTCGGTCCATTATTTACACCCCTAGATGTCATTGGCCACAATCCTAACCGCTTTTAATAATTCTACTTTGTGTGCAAAATAATGCAATCGAATTATTATATTGACGTTGTTACTGTTCCTATGCCAGTCTGCCTTGCTCTCTCAAAGGAGTCGGCTATTTTCACAACTTCCAGAGTCCCCATTCCATCTGTGGTGGTAGGTAAATATAGAACGTGATGCAGCTGACGGAGAGCGGAGTAGGTCTTAATCCCAAGTTATTTCCAGGTGTGATACAGTTGAAATATTTGTTGGTTGTAAGTTGTGATCCGTAAAGATGATGTCGTGAGTTTTCAACCCCATTCCATTATAAATTGGGTTACTCGTGTTGATGGCTTTTATCTACCAACTAATTATGCACAAGGAAAAAACATGTGCACTACCAAGTTTCATTTGGGTCTGTCTGGGTGCTAAGGCTACTGGCCACGTATATCCCTAACTCGCCCGATTCTATATATTGGGCTGGCTGTTGGTATGTTCCATCCCTCATCGTAACTCGCGATGTTAATGGACAATGGGCTGGTTTCGAATTGGTCTAGCCCAAAATGTTTATTTTTATTTTTTGTGTGCTAAAGCTAACTAGAATGTAAATTCAATCTCAATCAAACCACCTCCTGACCTATGAAATGTCTCCTAACTAAAATGAAGGGCAAATTTCTTAAATTATCAGCTAATTCATATGAAATATCCTTTTGCCCTTGGGGCTTGGTCTTAAAATCCTACTGTTCATTCTCCCCTTCTCAACGCATCCTCTTCTCCCATTCTTTCTCATTCTCTCACTCTATTTATCTCTCTATCATCCTCTCTCGGTCACCCATTTCTTTCTCCCTCCCCTGTTATCATCTCTACCCGCCACCGCTGCTGTAACTTCAGCGGTGGTTTTCTTCTTCCTCTCTCATTCGTTACCCCTGCCGTGGGTCACCATTATAAACTTCCTTTTCTCACGATTCAAGAACAACCCATCCCCAGATCTATTGCAGAAGTTCACCCATCTCGTTTCCGCCCCTCGATGAATCCTTGCTTGCAGGCATGCTAAGACATCTTCACGACATGTATACCAGAAGGCCCAAAAGTATTTCGGGAGTGGGCATCCTCCTCCAGTAGGTTCCATGCTTATCTAGTGCTGGATTTGATAACCAGTCTTTAATATCATCCTCTTCTTTTGGTCTGTGCGTAGATGCCAGAAGTTCATTCACCCGCAACCTCCGTATTCCTAATTCTCCATATGCCAAGTTTTTTCAGAGAGCTAGAACCAATTCGGTTTTTGGGTTTTCCATTGATGGTCATTTGTAGAAACAACAACAATGAATAGAATGTCAAAAATCAAAATTGATCAAAGAAATGCCAAGGGATTTGTTGACGTTTTGCAATGATGGTCATTTGCAGAACGCCGTAGATGACTGATGAGGACAGATTTGGCCCTCCAATGACATCATGACATATGGCATCTTGGAATAGTTAGTTGATACGTAGACACCACCTAAGCAATGACTTGGAGTCCCAGATTGTGGTTTTTCTTCGCCCAGACCTGGCGACCTGCCTTCACCGCCAACCTGACGACCTCGACCACAACTCAGGTCGGCTAGAAGCACCTCATCCGGGGTCGACCTGCAGCACCTCGTCACTGGCCGAAGTGGCCTCGACGCAAGGAGCGACCTCCCTTGAGGGTGTGCCGGCCTAACTAAGGTCCAAGTGGCGACGTGCGAGACGTGCTCGTCGACAAATTCGACATGCATATCCCGACACTCACGATTCTTGGAAGTTGGCCCACGTACCGAATGTTCCGGAGGGTGGTCAATGTGCATGATGTTTACTTCCAAGGATTTCGGACCAGTTAGGCATAATCTCCCAGAAATCTCGGATGCGGTGCGTAAGGCCCACACTGAACAATACCTATATAAAAGCACCAACCCCAAAGACCTAGAGAGGAGATTGCAACATTATCATTTGGAGATTTCAAGTGGTGCTTAAACACATAAATACTTCCTACCCTTTGTATGATTAAGATGATGAATCCTTTGAACATTTACTTTTCAAATGCCCATTAGCAAAGCAAGTTTGGTTTGGTAAGGACATTGCTATCCGTTCCGATGTAACCACTAACATGAGTATTAATGATTGGTTCCCAAACTGGATAAAGCTTTGAAAATCAAGACTCATCATTGATATTGATTTACTAAAAATCATATATTTTCTATGGCATATCTTGATTGCAAGAAATGCTTTAGTATTCAATAACAGCCCATGAAATCATCATATGATTATCTAGTGCGCCACTGGGAAAGTATTAGGTTTGCAATTTCCATGAGATTCTCTCACACCATCTTAGAAGGTGATAATGAAATAGTTATTAAGATCTTGTTAGAGGAAAAATCTCATATTYCTTGGAGTATTTTTTTATTGTAATATCTAGTTGCAGGAGTCTTCTCAATCACCTTGATGGTTCATAGTTACTTTCACTCAAGATCTGGTAACCAGGTAGCTCACTACTTAGCTAAATTTACTCTTACTTGTCAATTTCCTCAAACCTGATCCTTGCTCTTGAGTTTATCTCTTGTATGTTTAACAAGAATGTAATTGAGATTTGAAAGTTGAATGAAAGTGCCTAATGACTTAAAAAAAAAAAAGACAACAATTCTTTCGAGTTTGGTCAAACCCTATTGTAATTTTATTTTATTTTTGGTTGCTCGTGGATGTTGACAAGGTAGCCATGTTGTATTAATGGGATTCTCATGCTCGGAAATTCCCACGTCAGATCAGATGTCGAAAAGGTAAAGATTGAAAAATAACAAAAAGGAGGAAAAAAAGCGAAGGCGACATATTTGTTCTTTTCTCACTCTACTATATATTTTTTTTCAAGTAGTAGAAACTCGAGAGTTGACTCGAAGTAAACGGATGTTACATTTAAATAAATGAATGAATAGGCAAGCGTGTAGAAATAATCCTCGAAATAATAGGTTAATAATGTCCATCAAGCTAGTCCTAAATCTCTAATCATTTTTGTGTTACGCTAATATCTTGTAGAAAAAATGGCTTCTTTTTTCTTTTATCATGCATTCAACATAGCTTTTCTACAATCATGTTGTCCAAAATTCAAATGGATAAATGACTAATTACATAAGACAAAGATGAAGAATGAAAATAAAAGATATATATATATCAAGTAATGGGCACAAGTTAATTTATCAGAAGAAATTTTTTGCAAGGTTTTTGTTTAAGTTTAAAAAAGAGGTTGGATAGGCGTGATGGATAAGGGCTAATTTGTGTGTACACCCATTTGGATTTTGTTGGGAATACTTCATTATTATGAGCTCTTCCACATTTCTAACGTTTACTAATTTCTATTAATCCAATAGACGTAAATAAGGCTGAGTTTGGAAAGAATGTAAAAATACAAATATATGCAGTGCAAGTATAAAATATACAAGGTTTTTCACTGTATATATTTATATTTACAGTCTCTTTCCCAAACCGAGTCCCAAGGGTTCATATCAATTTTGGCCTTTTTCCCAATAAATATACATTTGATACCTTTGAATGGAAAGAGAAAAGTATGTGGTTACAAGGTACCCATCTCGTCCACTCGTCCAGCAACCAAACAATAACATATTTATCATTTMTTTGATAAGTGGGATATATAAGGTTTGTCTCTTTTTGTATACTTTTTCTTGCTCCTACTCCTTCCTCTCTCTCTTTGTCGTCTCTCCCTCATTTCGACGTGGTTTCATGACTTCATCCATGTGATAGATGATGTGGTCCACCGTCCAGTCGTCCATCTAGCAGATAGCAGGATTTAAAAAGTTAAAAGGCTCTTCCCTAAGACCCTAACTTATAATGGTTCCCCCC